CACACTCACACTCACAGACACACTCACACACACACACACACACACACTAGCTGTAGGGCTCATTCTGTATGATGTGCTGTTGAAGTGAAAGTCAACACTGCTTGTAATTTACTCCACTATCCACATGATGTCAGTATAAAGACATTAGATGATCAGATGAACCTGCTCTCTCTCTCTCTCTCTCTCTCTCTCTCTGGAGTCCATGATTAATGTCTCTGTCTGAGCGTGTGAAAATAGACCATAAATAGCCTCTCAGTTTACAGATCTGACACTTCTGGAAATAAGCGCTGGAATCAATAGCGAGTCATGTGCTCTTATGTAGGAGAAACACGGTAAAAGTGCAGCTTTTTGTGATATAGTAGTCAATGTAATGTTGCGATATTAAACTATGTGTAGCTTTAACATTCAGAGCAGCAATGATAGTTTGAGTTTCTGAAGAGAGAAACACTGTAACGCTTTCAGAACGTTGATCTGTTTGAGTGACAGGACAGTGACCAATCACAGGAGTTTGGGGCGGGACTATCAGTTCGACTGACCAATGACTGAGCAGTCTCCATATAGATCAATATCAATTTATACAACTTATATAACACTCATCTATATGTATAATTACGTTTATATAATTAAAGGGTTAATTTCATACAGCGTCATATTAGTAAGTCATATTTATTTTAATATTTTTTGCTTTTCTGTTAATTTAAGGTAAAGTTTTAGTAAATCGTTGTGTTTTTGTCTTTTTAAATTTGTTTTTGAAATATGTCCATATAGTTTCTGTAAAAAATGTTTATGAATTTATTTCAGTTTTAGTTGTTTTTTAGAACATGAAGTTAAACTACATGAAAATGAGAAATGAAGCATTGGAAACTAAAAGAAATAAAATAAGGTTTTTATATTTAATTTTATTTCAGGTAACATTTATTTTATTTCAAGTAACAAATGTTTTTATGGTTTTAGTTTTAGTTAACTAATAAATCTGTTTCATACAACAGTTTATCATAATTATCTTTTCCCCTTGATGTCCATTTATAGTGTGTTTTTGTTGTTGTTTGTTTAGTTTTTTGCAGCAGTCATATTTTAATTTGTCATGAGCATTTGGATAAGTGCTGTAGCTGGACAGGTTTAGGACGTTCTGAACGTTACAGCATGTTTTCACAGCAC